GCATATCGTACCGTAACTTCCTGAATTATGAGCCCTGATTGTACGGAAAATCACGTTTTTAGCTTGTGGACCCTATAGAGGTCAAAATTTTTATCCGATTTAAAAAAATGTATTATTATATCACCGTAACACCCTAAGGACGACTGAGTGTGAATTTCGTGAAAATCGGCCCAAAATTGACAGACAAAATGGCCGTCGTTCGTTCTCAAATAGCGTAAAAATATGGTATATCAAGGTTGTGGACCCTATAGAGGTCACAATTTTTATCCGATTTTGTTGAAACTTGAAATGTAAGCTTATAACCCAAAGATCTCGGTTCCTTTCGATATTCACGCATATCGGACCGTAACTTCCTGAATTATGAGCCCTGATTGTACGGAAAATCGCGTTTTTAGCTTGTGGACCCTATAGAGGTCAAAATTTTTATCCGATTTAAAAAAACGTATTATTATATCACCGTTACACCATAAGGACGACTGAGTTCAAATTTCGTGAAAATCGGCCAAAAATTTACAGACAAAATGGCCGCCGTTCATTCTCAAATAGCGTAAAAATATGGCAAATCAAGGTTGTGGACCCTATAGAGGTCACAATTTTTATCCGATTTTGTTGAAACTTGAAATGTAAGTTTATAACCCAAAGATCTCGGTTCCTTTCGATATTTGCGCATATCGGACCGTAACTTCCTAAATTATGGCCCCTGAACGTACGAAAAATCGTGTTTTTAGCTTGTGGACCCTATAGAGGTTATAATTTTTATCCGATTTAAAAAACCGTATAATTATATCACCGTTACACCATAAGGACGACTGATTTCGAATTTCGTGAAAATTGGCCCAAAATTGACAGACAAAATGGCTCCCGTTCGTTCTCAAATATCGTAAAAATATGGTATATCAAGGTTGTGGATCCTATAGAGGTCACAATTTTGATCCGATTTTGTTGAAACTTGAAATGTAAGTTTATAACCCAAAGATCTCGGTTCCTTTCGTTATTCGCGCATATCGGACCGTAACTTCCTGAATTATGGCCCGTGATTGTACGAAAAATCACGTTTTTAGCTTGTGGACCCTATAGAGGTCATAATTTTTATATGCCCACATTTTCATGTGGACGTATTATGCCGTCGCCCCTGTCCGTCCGTCCACAATTGTTTGTGGACTCTTTACAGGTCACAATTCTTATCCGATTTCGACGAAACTTGAAATATAGGTGTATCCCCAAAAGATCTCGGCTGCTTTCGATATTGGCATGTATCGGATCGAAACTTCATGGATTATGGCCCCTGTTTGTACGAAAAATCACGTTTTTAGCTTGTGGACCCTATAGAGGTCACAATTTTGATCCGATTTACAAAACCATTCTATTATATCACCGTTACACCGTTTGTTCAATTCCTTTCGATATTTGCGCATATCGAATTGTAATTTCCTGAATTATGGCCCTTGATTGTAGGAAAAATCACTTTCTTGTTAGCTTGTTCTCTATCCATCTCTCGAAAATGTGGGCGTATCCTGCCTGGCAGCCGCTGGTTATCCGATTTAAAAAACCGTATAATTATATCACCGTTACACCATAAGGACGACTGAGTTTGAATTCCGTGAAAATCGGCTCAAAATTGACAGACAAAATGGCCACCCTTCGTTCTCAAATAGCGTAAAAAATATGGTATATCAAGGTTGTGGACCATATAGAGGTCACAATTTTTGTCCGATTTTGTTGAAACTTGAAATGTAGGTTTATAACCCAAAGATCTCGGTTCCTTTCGATATTCGCACATATCGGACTGTTACTTCCTGAAATATGGCCCCTGATTGTACGAAAAATCGAGTTTTTAGCTTGTCGACCGTATAGAGGTCATAATTTTTATCCGATTTAAAAAAAATGTATTATTATATCACCGTTACACCCTAAGGATGGCTAAGTTTGAATCTCGTGAAAATCGGCCCAAAACTGACAAACAAAATGGCCGCCCCTCGTTCTCAAATAGCGTAAAAACATGGTATATCAAGGTTGTAGACCCTATAGAGGTCGCAATTTTTATCTGATTTTGTTGAAACTTGAAATGTAAGTTTATAACCCAAAGATTTCGGTTCCTTTCGATATTTGCGCATATCAAATTGTAATTTCCTGAATTATGGCCCTTGATTGTAGAGGTCATCATTTTTATCCGATTTAAAAAACGTATAATTATATCACCGTTACACCATAAGGACGACTGAGTTCGAATTTCTTGAAAATCGGCCCAAAATTGATAGACAAATGGGCCGCCGTTCGTTCTCAAATAGCGTCAAAATATGGTATATCAAGGTTGTGGACCCTATAGAGGTCACAATTTTTATCCGATTTTGTTGAAACTTGAAATGTAAGTTTATAACCCAAAGATCTCGGTTCCTTTCGATATTCGCGTATATCGGACTGTAACTTCCAGAATTATGGCCCCTGATTGTACGAAAAAACGCGTTTTTAGCTTGTGGACCCTATAGAGGTCATAATTTTTATCCGATTTAAAAAAAATGTATTATTATATCACCGTTACACCCTAAGGACGGCTAAGTTTGAATTTCGTGAAAATCGGCCCAAAACTGACAAACAAAATGGCCGCCCCTCGTTCTCAAATAGCGTAAAAACATGGTATATCAAGGTTGTAGACCCTATAGAGGTCACAATTTTTATCTGATTTTGTTGAAACTTGAAATGTAAGTTTATAACCCAAAGATTTCGGTTCCTTTCGATATTTGCGCATATCGAATTGTAATTTCCCGAATTATGGCCCTTGATTGTAGGAAAAATCACTTTCTTTTTAGCTTTTTCTCTATCCATCTCTCGAAAATGTGGGCGTATTCTGCCTGGCAGCCGCTGGTTTAAATTAGGTGTGTTAAGATAAAATTTGTATTACCAATTAATTGGAATATTGTAAAATAGTACAATTTGTTGACCAGAATAAAGATTGGGACATATTATTCAGTTACAACAAGAGTGGTATTGAGCCTTTAAAGGAGGCAAGTCTCTAACTCAATATCATCCATAGTCTTCCAAATTGCAAACACGACTTGTTGGTCAATTTGAATCAACATTGATGTTGTTATCTTACCCAGAAAAGATGGGCTTCTGATATCCAAAATTAAGACAAAATGAAAATTTTGAAATTGGCACACGAATCGCATGCCAGAATGCTTTTGAGTGCCATTTGCAATGAAGCGACTCGATGAACGAGGCTAAACATATCCCACAGGAGAATACTACCGATGTAGACTGGAATAACCAGATGTCAAAGACTGCCATTCAATTTGGACTCCTCACTAATTAAAAATTACAGTAAAAACAGAAACGGTTGAATGTAAATCAGTTTATATACATTCATATTACATTATCATATGTGTTGCGACCCATTTGTGTCCATTTGTAGGTGCTAAAGAAAAAGATTAAGTTCCTTTAAATTGTCTGTTCATCTTCGAAGAGAATTTGTGCACATTTACTAACAGGGAGACATATTGTGACAGACATGGCTAAGTGAAGAAGATAAAATAAATTTTTCATGGATTTGGAGAGTATTAGGCAGAATAGTGAAAATCTCCCTCTTATTATCGTTGTTAATCTGTACAGGAAAAATGATAAAAATTCTGACAACTATAGAGACTGTCAGATCTGATATTGGTGTAATAGAGTTAGTATAATGAGGTTATTTGGCCAGATTGGTTATGTAATGAATCATCATTGTCACCTTGCTAGGATTACCCTGTATTACCAATAATTGATCACCAGTCAACATTACAGCACATAGGAAGCACATAAAACACTTTTGCTACAGATATCCTTTGATTCTCACTAGTTTGTCTCCAAATGGTTTGAAATGTGTAAAAAGGGTTTCCTTGTTAAAAGTCTTTAAATAATTGATAAAAGATTATATAATGCATGCCTGGCAAAAGAAATGTTTGGAACTGGTGTCAGTAATTCCTTGTTTTCTCTGAATCATGCAAAATGTGGAAATCACCAGATTTCTTTTATTTGATTTGGGTGGATTAAGTGAGGTGCCTGGTGTCGACTGAATTGAAAATGAAAGATTTAATGTTGATAAGAGCACTGATCATGCAACAGGCTACCTAAATTTGGTTAAGAAATAAATCATTATGCAGTTTTTGAAAGGTATCATGATAGAAAGATTGAACTGTCATGTTCTGTGGTCTTATAGAACAATTTTAGTTATTTTACTGAATGTTCATAGATAAATTACATTGATTTTTTGATTTTTAAAAATGTAATTTCCATTATTCATTTTATTTTTGGATAGTTTTGAAATGCTTATTTCTGAAGTGTGATGGCTTTGAGTTCCTGGGTTGAATCTAGTGTTTCTAGGGATTTTCCAGCTGGGTTTCCCTATGTCAGTGATGCAGATCATAGCAAGCATCAAGTCATAGTGATAGGATGCAATACAAATGTCGGTAGTTAGAATAAATGTAAACAGTAGCATCGCTGTTCGGGCAAAATTTCCCCCATAACACAATGAACGGCGTATGCCCATCTTCATTAGCCGAGTTGGTGAAGAAAAATAAGACATTAAACCCCATTTCATTTTATTTGGATCACATTGGCCTTGACCATTATGTTTCCAACCTTTGCCATATACATATATATCATAAAGAATTAGATGTATCCTTTGCCCAGCAATACATGTATACCATTTTTTGATATTAGTGGGTAACCAGACGATTGAATCCTCAATGAAAAGCCAGCATAACGTCTTTGCAATCCACGTACAAACTAATTTGGGAATTGAGTAAGATAATTCAAATGGGTTTTGTTACATTTACCTTGGGGTAACAGGAATTAATATCATCATAGGTATCAATCATGGTTAGTTTACTTAATAGATGCATCAGTGTGTGGGATAGTGTCTAGTCATGGATTTTAACTTCATTGGGATAAATCATGGGTTTTAAATTATAGGATTTGTATTTTTGTTTTATTGTAGCTTAAGAAAAAAAGAATTCCTTTGATAAACAAAAGTACTCTTATTTGGATGTTGGGTGACCATTGTTCGTCACAATATGTAGTGTACAGATATGGTAATGATACTTTACTTAATTATAAACTTTAAATCATGCTGTACTGAACTGTAAAATGTAAATCATATTGTACTGAACTGTAAAATGTAAATCATATTGTACTGAAATATATGATGTAAATCTTCTAAATGATGTTAGAGTAAAAACTCTTCACACTATTTTGATAAGAAGACTAAATGATTATTGCTCATTCAAGTCAAAACCTCTTTGAGAAGAATGAATATTGGTCAAGAAATTCTTAAAATGTAGAATTGAATTGATAAATGCACAAAGTCCAGTTAGAATTCCATTTCCTTTCATAGAAAATGCTTGATTTATTTCCTGTAATTTAACAGATATCAAAGTATTGGGCTTGTTCACAGTTAATAATACAGATTTGTATTATGATATCAGGGCAATTTCAATTTTCCTTTAACATTAGGATAATTGAAGACACCTCCACTGGTGTGATGGGATTTAAGTCAAATGTAGCAGCAAAAAGACTTGGTGCTGGGCAATGACAGTTAGGAATGTCATAATGATTTGCAGCAGTGTCCCTTAAGGGTATGCTTTATGGAATCCAATGATGTATTTTCCCCAACAGAGTCATAACTGTAGTCAAGACACAAAACTAACACAAAATGTCAGTAGAAAAATATTGCAACATGAGTCATATTTCAGCATTTGCTTGTTAACTGTAGAAATTGTTGTCTGTAGGGACAGTTGAGACTGGACATGAAACGTTACTCCCAAACAGCTGGTGATATTTTGGGTATTCTAGATTAATTTGAGATTCCAGGGTTAATTGTTAGTTATGGTTTGTAAAAATGTGTCTAGTATTTCTCAAGGGATGATTAGTATCTTTCACCCATTGTTGTGATAATATAGTATGACTATCATCTATTACAGTGTCAGACAACAAATAGCAAAGTTTTGTGCCCACTGTTAATGGTTAGATCTATCCCCAAAATAGAGTACCCATCTGGAAATTACCTTACCTTATTTCTTTGGTGTCATTTGAAATTAATTAATTAAACCAGTAAATAACCAGATCAAGGCAGATGTAAAACCATCAAAAAGCTTGTTGAAGAGTAGATTAGATAACACTGCTGGTTGAATTTGTAAGGGTTTTACTTGATGCAAGAGATTTGGGGATTATACATGTATATATTAGCATGAGGTATGCTTCCCCCCAAAGTCAAAGTGACGTATCTACCAAATTTGCATTTTCCCGCTGTATTACACATAACGCTATTCCAAACAGTTTTCTAACATCTGACAAAGGTAGATTAACATATCGTTTCTCTTTCATGTAAATCTCCAAGCTGTGTATTATTTAAATAAACCCATGTATGATAGTATAGAACGGCACAACAATTAAGTTTAAAGTCGATTTTCTCGGTTTGTCTTTTTGTGCAGTTACGTCACTTTGACTTTGGGGGGCAGTATGGCCTAGCGGTACTTAAAATAGACTGAGGGTATACAATTTGTAACTGAATTTCATACAGCCTGTCCTGATTCATGTACTTAAAATAGACTGAGGGTATACAATTTGTAACTGAATTTCATACAGCCTGTCCTGATTCATGTTCCTAGAAAATTTCCATATAAAATATTTTTCCAGGTTATAGCATTTGCTTCTAAAATCTGGCAACGAAAAATTAACAGTAAAGGTTTATTCAATAGATAATTTGTTATAATTATCCATTTATTATCAGTGAATTACTCATTCCAGTACATGTAGTTAATCTGTCTGATCTTCAAACAAATACCAGTTTCCATAAAGCAATGATCCGTATTGACCAGACTAATGTCGTATATTACATAATGTACATATTATATATACAGGTGAAAAATCTAGTCATTATGGATTTCTATCAAAAGTGATTTTAAACCAGTTAAATTGAAAAGAGTTGTAACTGTACTTTTCTTACTACCGGTATGTATTATAAATCGCAATGGGTTGCCCATAGACTATTGTTCTGACTCCCAAGCTTGCATTAGGCAGAAGTTGTGTGGTTGGACGGTCACAGCAAGAGGGCTAAGATTTTGCAACAGTCCGCCTGTAAGGATTAGTAGCTGCCACAAGAAGACCCAAACCAAATGACCGTAGACCTGACGGAAAGGTGCAAGTAAACCAGATTGGGTCTAGGCGACGTAAGCTACTCCTCTAGTCAAGAGGGCAAAGCCACTGGACATATTTTAGATTTTGAATCCGCTTTGCTGTTACAGTTCTTTCCTTAGCTATAAGTTGAAGTATCATTTAGGTGTCTAAAGAAAGAAATACAGTGTGTACCAGTATGCTGAAAATTTTCATTAAATTTCAACTGTCTAAAATGTATGCAGGAATTTTGGTTTCTCATACCATTGTTTTAACCAGAAACCAGCATAGAACTCTGGACCTTCTGATTAGTGAGCAAGCACCTTACTCATTGAACCACTCATATTTTACACCTTCAGAGGCCCAAGCAAAGTTTCCTTAAGGAACCAAACACTGATTATTCTAGATTCAGTAAGTCTGGAAATATTTGCATTTTTTAACATATTTTGCTGTTAAAATGGTTTATCAAAATTCTAAGATCCCAACATGCAGGCCTTGACACAAATACAGGCGAAATGAAATGAAATGAAATGGGGTTTAAGGTCCTACTGTTCTGCTCCGAACTGGTCTAATGAAGACTGGCATACACCATACAGTGTGTTATGAGGGAAATTTTGCCCGTACAGCAGCACAATGGCCTACTCTTATATTGAATTCCAACTGTCAAGGTATCTTTTATGTGCATGCCAATGTGTACACGGGACCCCGATTTTTCGTCCCCTCCGTCCTGCATCACTGATGAACTTTCTCCGTCTATGCAGGGATCGAACACCCACTTGGCTACCGAGCCAATGTCCACTTAGCCACATTGACCCCCACAAATACAGTAAGTTCATAATCTCTGAACATGAACATTAAAGAAAATATGCCAAATTTCAATGTAGCACAAAATCAAAAATAAAATGAAATGTATTGGCATTATATTTTGATCCAATTGAGCTGCTGTGGGTGTATGTTTCATTGTCGGGCAACTGATGTTGAACTTCATCCAAGCTATGGCTTGTAAATAATTTGTAAATAAACGTAGAATTATGTAAAAAGCAAAGCCAACCAGGACCCAATTTTGGCTTCACAATCCTGAAAGCCACCGCCGTCGCCTCCCCTCCCAGGCTCTCACCCATACCCTCACCCTCCAATAAAGTGAGTTTCGTTTTGAAGGGTGTGACCCATAAAGTTGAGTATGGTCTTGTTTCTGCCAGTTGGTTTTAATATGGTGAACAAAGTGCAAACTTTGACATCCTTGTCAGTTCATCTGGTTTTATCAGGTAGGTAACTTGTCTACGTCTTCTATAAGGAATCTATTGATGGTGATTGAATCATGCAGGATCTTGGTGTTTGCAAGGGTTAACTCTATTAAATAAGATTTAGTTATAATACATAAATTATTGCTATGTTATAACCACCAATGGACGATTAAGGCCACTTGAGCTCAGGTTTGATTATGAATTACATGAAGTTAGCATTATTAGAAAAATAAAAATCAAAACTGAACAAAAAATTTCTGTCATGGATATTAGAAACTAGTACATATTATTACATGTAGTACAATTTATTACATGCAGTACATATTTACTGTCTATTTATACCTTAGGGTGGATGGATAGAAGAATGAAAATTAATGGCTTTTGTTTCAAATGTCATGCCAGTTGATTAGAAAATACTGATCTTTTTCTAATATAAATCAATTTTCTACCAAATATTTTTATCCCACATTGAGCTGCACTTCTTGTCTCTCGGAATAATATGGAATGAAATTGTATTTTATGAACTCTATAGAGCTTAACAAATTGTCATTTCTCTTGCCCTTGCTTGACATTATTGCAGCTTTGTCACACAATTGAAGGCTTTTCATTGTGAGGATAGTCATAACCATTCATTAAGATTCATTAATAATGATTATATGAAGGTGAATAAGAACTTGTGTCACATTCGTTTGTCTCTATCGGGTATAATAAAAATTGCTGCCAGTGAGACTAATGTTACATTATGACTTCCTGGAGACTCCTTTCTTTATAAACAGATGTTTGGGGAGAAAATAACAAATTTGAAAAACTATGATTTATCAGATAACTATTTTTATTTTACCTGCGTGTCTGTGGTTATATGTTTTAGGTCTAAACCAGTTCTTAAAAACTTTTGAAGAATAGTTTGTGATTATAGAGTTAGTGCCACTGACTGATGATTTTTTATATGTCCACCTTTTTGCTTAGTTGTATATTGCCATCAGATCTTTCCTTCTAGTCTGGAGGATTAGTGCGGTGGAGTGTCCTTCAAATGGTCACAAAACCAGGCCCAACTTTACATGAATGTAGAATATGGTGCCAGGTGGTAATTGATTCACTGTTGGAGAGTTTTCGATACATTTGAGGTCAGTCGTCAAATGGGATCATTTACCCTGAAATGAATACGTTGCTACTTCAGAGCACTAGGGAGATTAATGCATTACACCTCAAAATTTAACTTTTTTTTTCAAAGTGAAGAGTATGAGCCCTATTGATTTTCCCTGTTCCCCATTCATTTCTTGCAAAATGTGGGCATTCTTCGCCTTCTGCAAAACCACTTCATGGAATTTAAACAATATGTAAGTGTGACATCATCTGTTATATGTTCTGAGTCAATTTTCAACTATTTAAAAATCACACACAATTGTACAAATCTTTAGATTTTGAAAACTAGATGAAATATCATTCCCATGATAAAGTCATAGAAGTCATATGCATAATTCATTCAAAATCACAGTAATTTTTATTATGTATTTTTGATTAGATACATCTTTGACCTTGCTTGACTCTATCAGAAATTTATTTCTAAGTTTTGACATTTTCAATTTTGTTTTTCTCGGTCGCCAGTCTTCTAATCAGAGAGAACGTCTGTCCAATTTTTTTATGAGCTTGGATTACGCCTTTTGTTCAAAATTACA